TTTTACTAGTTTTACCCCAGTTGTTCGGGTTAGTGGTAAATTCTTTTTTGGGTAATACCTCCCATTATACTGCTAGCATTGGACTAAATCCTGGATCTGAAGCCAACAAGCCAGCGGAGCGAGGCGCTGCCCGTCCGTGGGTGGTGCTTCAGCGAAAGCCAGTGCCGCCCCCCAGTGACGTGACCAACCCTGACCAGAATCGAAAGATACAAAAGAAGACAAACGGCAAACAAGATCCATCTTCCGACGATAACGTATTAGAGCTCAAAATTTTAAATGTAAGGTTTTGGCAAAGGGCATCAAAATTTGAAGCATTGGTGAGTCGTAATCTCTTCAGACCAATCCGTTGCTAAGCCCTAACTATGATGTCTAGAATGTTACGCCAAGACACAAAATAAGTACCAAACTGATCACAGTCGGTGTGCACTAGTATTGGATTTTCTGTTCTATGTTATCTGCAGATGCTCATCAAATGTAATATCATGACTAAGTGGTCTGAGGTAATGTTAATTAGTTTATACAGATTTTTATAAGAACACACTGTCATCAGATTTCCAAATGTTGTTGTTTGGTAAAGGAGGTAATGTCACTGGCGTAGACAGGTCCTCAGTTGTGGCGGGGGATTGATGTTCGCTGTTTACTGTCTATCACGGCTAATGTATGATGAAGTTTAGAGTAGCGAGGCCCGAGTGCGGCGAGTAAGCGCAGCCCCGCGAGCGCCTTTGCGCGCCAAAGCCGCTTAATGGTGGGGTCGCAGGGCCGCCGTGGCCTGGCGGGGTTGCAGGCGCGCGGTGACGGCCGGCAGCGCGCCTGACACGGACTTGTACATTTTTCACGGAGAGAAAGTTTGCTGCGGGATTTCACGGATACTCTCTAGGCGGAAGATAGGTCAAGAACAAAGGCCAGCGTGTATAATTCGGAACAAGTGAACATTGTATGGTAGCCCATGAGATACCAAGATGGAGCTCGTTGGATGTGTAGTTCGTGGACTGTGATGGTGTGAAATTGAAGCGAGGCGGTATCGAGCACATGTTAGCGATAAAGGCTGTTGCCTACTGCTCTCTATTCAGTGTTGTGTTTGGAACGAGCGCGGGCGTGGCGGTGTACTTGGTGTTTGCAGGATGAGGTGTGTGTGAGACAAGTGTGACAAGGTGAGGTGTATCGAGGCGAGAATAGAGTAGAGAGAACATTAAGAGCTGTAGTAAGATACATTTTGTCGAGTTTCGTGTGTTACATTTTTTTGGTGTGTGTGTGTGTGAGTGCAAGTGCCATGGATACCAGCACACTATAGAACACCCACGTGTGAGAGCACATATACCCACATATATCATATTCTGCTCGTATGTTTGAAGCCCCCTAGGTTATTAAAACATCAAAATATCAGCCACCAGGTGTGTGTATCCGAGGTGTACAGGCCTGAGCGAGCAAAGTTCGTTTTTGGCTAACGGAGTGGGCACACAGAGTGAAATAAATACCGGAATATGAAGCTGAAGTGAACGTTTATGATTCGGTAATTAATTTTTGTAACTAATGTTCGCGTTTCCTTGTATTTTGACACGGAGCGAGCCCAGGCCGCCTGCTCGAAATTCTCGGCCGTCAGGCACACGAAATGTGTAGTCGAAACACCGGCGCTGATGAAAATCACTGTTTGCGTGAGTCGTCGGGTGAAACTACAGTAAGTAGCATTAGGAGTTAGAATGCACCAAATTGCATCCATTTTTTCAAAGAAAATCCGGCGGTGGAATCCTACTGGACAAGCCCTAGTCTCAGAGCGCACCGGAGAGAGTGTGGTGGAATGAACGTCGCGGACAACCATAGCTCGCAAGAGACGAGCTACCGGGGATGCTATACTTGCCGTAAAGACCCATCTCGCGGAGAAATGCAAAACGCAGGGGTTCAGTTTGTGGGTGAAGAAAAGGTGTAGTCGGAGCGAAGGCAGAGTCGAACCGACTTCAGAAGAGTCTGGGTGGTCTTGGCACAAAAGTTGTGGTGTGTGTGAGTGAGACATGAGGTGAACAGGAAGAGTGGTATAACAACATACCATATGGCATTAACAGGCCGACTACAGTGTAACTTAGAGTTAGGTCCAAATAAGTAAATTAAGCTCTAGGCAACTGTCGGGGAAGTTGGTGGAAAGGCTTTTACGTGTGTTTTTCTCTGTCCCCAGTGCCACCGGTACCGCACCATGCATAGCATCAATGCTGCTGTCACATCTGCAAACGTTACAATGGCTACTACGAATCTTGATAGCAGTTTACATTGCTTCTAGATATCTAACCTGATAAAAAAAGTCACTTTTCTAGACGGTAAACAGAAAAGTGACGACATGTCAGTGTTAACGAGGCTTTGATTCGTGCTGTGTCAGGTATCCACTGGTGCGTGCCTCACTCCCCACGATAACCGCGTGCGACATATGAAACTTATGTTATAGCGGTCATAACAAACACCTGGGGTCATGCCGCAATCGATTTCTTAGCCTCTGTCACGAAGTTTTGTGTCGTGTGGCGAATCATGCGTTGGAGAGTTTCGTTCGCCTCGGCTTCTAGATGTTTTGGATACCCGTTTACGCTAGGAACGGAGCGTATAAGAATGCTGCTCGCTGTTTGACAAGTCTGTCCTAAACAGCCGTTGCGATAACGTAGTAATTCCAGCGTAACTATGAGGGGAAAAAGGTGCCGGTCAGGAGGACGGGGCAGTTTCGTAGCAGATTTGACCTTTGACCCCCAGCTTCGACATCCCAACTCGTTTTCGGATTACCCCCCCACGTCTCGAATATCTTGACCGTACGTCGAGCGGTTAACATTTGTGCCCAACTGTTGACGGACGGACGGACGGACGCTCGCACGGACTAATGCGATTCTACAAGCTGCATCTGACTATGTCAGATGAGCTAAAAACAATAAAATATTCCAGTCTAATTATTGTAACTCAATATCTAAAACACAATATTACACGTATATAGGTATGATTGTAGAGTTGTTAACCAGTTAGACGAAATAAACGTAATAGGACGTTGTCATCTCTCCAAATTGCTGCCAAAAAGTGGGCGTGGCTCGAATGTAGGTCTACTGGCGTGCTCCAGAATAGGATGTTCAAACCTCTCCCATAGGAGTAACAACTATATGCAATTTGAAACATGTGAGTCAAACGGTTCTTGAGTTATCGTTGCACGTAGGCAGACACAGAAATGCATAATGAAATTGCCAATCTACCTAATTTGCATAATTAAAAAAAAATCAAAACCTGTGTGATATGTTTTGAGACCAGTCCTCATTCATTCACATACCAGAAATGAGCAAAATCCATTGAACCTAAACTGACTAATGGCCATTTCCATTTTTGCCAAAAAGTGGACGTGGCTCGAATGTAGGTCGACTGGCGTGCTCCAAAATAGGACGTTCAAACCTCTCCCATAGGAGTAACAACTATATGCAACTTGAAACATGTGGGTCACACTGTTCTTGAGTTATCGTTGACCGTAGCCAAATGTTGACAGACGGACGGACGAACGTACGACACCCCATGACAATAGCTCATCTTGACGATGTCAAGGCGAGCTAAAAATCAACAAGGCAGCCTCGCTTATCATATACCAGGGAAAGCACTGTAAATGCTAAAGCTATGTTTTAATTCATAGAAAGATAATATTAACCACCAACTTTCTGAAGTTGGTGGTCCTGCTTGTCCACTAGATTTTCAGCCAAAATTCGAACCCTGGTGTTTGCACGTTTCGAGGTCCTAGCAAGGTAAGCACCCCCGGTGCTCGCCGAGCTAGGTTGTCCGCGAGCATTCCACCCCCGGTGCTCGACGAGCTAGGTTGTCCGTGAGGATTCCACCGCCGGATATTTTTTGAAAAAATGGTGCAATTTGGTGCATTCTAACTCTAAGCTATTCTGTAGTTTATTGATGGAAGAACAGTGATTTTCATCAGCGGCGGTGTTTTGGACAAATTTCTGTGTGACGGCCGAGAATTTGAGCGAGGCGGCCTGCCTCGCTCGTGTCAATACAAGAGAAACGCTGAACATAGTTACAAAATTCATTACCAATATAAAGTTCACTCAGTTATATTCGGTGATTTATTGCTATGCTGTGCCATGTTAGCAAAAACGAATTGCTTGTCTCAGCCTGTACACCTCGATCACAACATGGTGGCTGATTTTTGATGTATAATAATAGGGGGTCAACATAGAGCAATATTATATAGTGATAATGCTGTCTGGTAAGTGGTGTTTACATTATGTGTGACCACAGGCACTTGGAACGTCTCAATAAAATACAAAAATGTAAACACGAAATGACAAATGTATTTACTACCAGTCTTAATGTTTCTCTACTCTATTTCGCCTATAATCACCTGTAAATGCTGGTCAAATGCTCATCTGCAACACACAAGTACACCGCACGCCCGCGCTGTTCACAAACAACATGAATAAGAGAGCAGGTAGGAAAGCTTTATCGCTAAATTCGCTCGAAGCTCTCTTCATTTCACACCATCACAGCACGAATACACATCCAACAGCTTCCATCTTGGTTTCTATGTGTACATAAATGTTCACTTGTTCGAATTATAACAACGAATACACATCCAACAGCTTCCATCTTGGTATCTATGTGTACATAAATGTTCACTTGTTCGAATTATAACGCTGGCCTTTGTTCTTACCTATTCCCGCTAGAGATATCTCGTGAAATCCCGCAGGAAATGTTCTCTCCGTGAAAATGTAAAGAGGACGACAAGTCTGTTTATACACGAGTAATGGGGCGCATTGCATGCCGGGATGAGCTGCTGCCTGC